AATCTAAAATGATCCAGTGGAAAATTAATTACTAAACATCATTCAGCTACTTTAGTTTCTTCCATTAGAATCTTCACAAAAATATCTGGACAGAAGGGCGAAAATTTACTTTAATGAACTTAGTGATTCAGCATATGTAATTGGTATGGAAATATATCAAATTTATCCAATAAGGAACTTTGAAGGGCAATCATAATGTATGGTAATGAATAAAGTCAGAGAACAAATTCTACAGAGATTCTTGGGCTTCACACAGCTACCAAGATGCCACCAGTAGCATCTGACATTTGGAGTAGTGAATGAATTGGTACCCAACTTATGTATAAATGTTCAAAAAAATAGCTGCTATCAGATTTGCTAGGATAGGATTTTTAATAACAAATGAGCAATATGTTTCCAACAGGCCATGTATGTGCTGTAAGATAAGATTCGTAGAACCAGTACAGTTTGTATCTTGACTGCTAATAATGCTTTCATATAAAAGTACACCAAAGTGATCCATGTACAAAGTAACATGGCCCACTTAAAGGACTGCACAAGCAAATTAGAATTAATGGGAAATTTTCTCAGGAAATAAAATCAGAAAGATTGTTCTTCAGTAAATAAGTGAGCACTCGCCCATGGAACGTTTGGCACAAAAACCCCGTGCCTGGTTGTTTCATTCTCTCAGCAGAGAGGTTGGTCTTCATGGAGTCCTGTTCTTTTCAGATGTCTTTAAAAGACCTTTCTTGCCAAAGCCCTTCCTGACTACAATGGGGTTTATGTAAGAGCCATAGTTCAGACGGCTTCATGCCAAAGGAGGTTCACTGCTAGTTCCAGCTCAGGTCCTGCATGGCTAGGTGACCTCAGCTGAGTGGGTTCCCCTCAGCTTTTTCATCTGTAAAATGTGAAGGTGGAGCTGATGACCTGTTGTGGGGATTTCGTGGACATTTATTCCTTTAACAAGGATTCTTTGAACACCAGCTTTTCTGACGGTCCTGCTGAAAGATTTAAACAATCAGGCACAGTGTTTTTGTGCCAAACATTCCACATGTGGTTACTTATTTATTGAAGAACAATCTTTCTGATTTTCAAGGAATTTTATTCCCAGGCACAATTCTGTCACTGGGATTTCAGTGATGAGCAGGAGAACGGGACATGGTCCCTGCCCTCTGGTGTTTAGATTCTGGTGGGGGTTGATGGAGCACATGGGACCGGGGAGCTCGTAATAGGAGGAGGATTTATTCCACCTAGGCAGGGAGATCAGAAAGGGCCTCCTGGGGACGCAACAGGCGCGGGTCTAGTGAATGTGGGCTACGGTGGAGAGGAATGGGCGTTCAGGAAACAAGAGGTGCTGGGTTCTGATCCTAGCATAGCACCTTATCTGTCTGTGTCTCGATTCCCTCCTCTCTTAAAACGGGCCTAACATCAGGACCCTTCCACCGTGTTGTGAGGTTTCAAAAGGATGACATGTTTGACAGTGCCCAGTGCCATGCTGGCAAATCACATTTTCATTTCATTTCTAAGAATAACTTTGGAAGCAGAGATGTGCCGTTTTGGTCATAGATTTTTAGCATTGGAGAAAGAATGAAAATAGCATTGAGGCTTCTTATAAAAAGCCTGAGTTCCTATTCTACCCTGGAAGGTGCCTGGCTTCCCTTAATCACAGAGTCATGTTTGAATCACTCGACTTTGAAATCCCAGGAACGATCTTGCTGCATGATTAACTGGCAGAGACCCGAGTTTGGGGGACTAGCAGAAGTTTAGACATCCCCAGCCTTGTCTCTTCCCTTTACATACAAAGAAAGGAGGCTGATCACAGGACCAACAAAACTGGACCGGCGAGGCAGCCTCTACCCCACAGTCCTGTGCTCTTCTATATCGTCTCTTTGCTTACTATTCCACAGAAACTATGGACACTCTCTGAGGTGACCGGGCTACTTGTGAATGCTTACGTAATTCCGCCTTGAGATAAAGCTATGTTAGCTCTCTCTCATAACTCAAGGCCTGAAGTTTATTCCTTTAATCTTATAAAAGCAAACAGGAGGACAGAAATAACCCATCAATTGTTTAAAATTAAAATGACCAACACTAAAAAATAATTGCCACAATAGCTTGAGGTCAGGGTCTTAATTTATTGGAGTCTGTTCAAGAATTTGCAACTCTTCTCTAAGTTAATTTTTCACATCTTGTTTGGATTCTCAGAGCTCTTGCTTCCAAAGCAAGGCCATCAGATTTCTCATTGCACATGTTATTCTTGTTGATGTGCCAGACATGCAGGAGAGTGAGATCCTCTTCTCATGGGTGGGTGATGGTGATTCCTCCCCCCAGAAATTAGTATTTCAAAGTATTGTAGCCTATTGAGATTTTGAATAGTTTTCTTGTCTTGCATGCTGTATTAGCTGTATCAATGTTTGTTAATAGTTCTCTTGCATGCTATATTAGCTGTATTTGTTGCAAACAACAGAAACATATGCTGGTTAGTTTAAACAGAAAAGAAATTTATTGGAAGGGTATGGGCTAATTCAGATTGTAGTTAGGAGACAGAGGAGGCAAGGCTCAGCTCAGGATGCCACCTCTGGGCTTGCGACGACTCCTCACTTGTAGTCTCAGATGATCCCTAGTGTCTTGGCGCAACCCTCAAAATTGGTATTCTGGGTGGGAGCATCTGTCACCACATTAAGGCCACCTGACAACCCTTAGATCACTTGACTGCACTTAGGTGCCCACTCTCTAGTAACCAAGAGGAGGAGAGAGGGAGGGTCTCTCCCTTTCTGCTGATGTGCCCCCTCGCCTATCTTGAGATTCCCCCTAGACAGGAAGATGTCAGGATGCTAGTGGCCAAAAATACCAACTGTTCATTACACAAACCCTCATGTGCTTAATCACATCTTCTGTTAACTGGTTGGCTAATTAAACATTGGCCACTGATGTGGATTTATTTTGTCCAAAGCTCACATCATGCAATAATTGTCATCAGATTTCATATGCATCTTCATCATTGTCATCCTCAGCCTCATCACCATCCTCATCCTTGGCCCATTCACTCACTCACTTTCCTGGGCTACCATTTCCCTCCATCTCCTCGTCCTGCAAACATTCACCCCCTTCTCCTCCCCCGCCCCCTCCCAATCTTTGCCCTGCTTCTATTTCACTGCAAGATGGAAGTAATCACAGAGGAATTTCCAAATACTTGTCTGTACTCCCTATTTCCATTTATCTTCCTCCTACATCTCTTAAAACCACTCTAGTCAGGCTTTTGTCCCCATCATTCTGCTTCAGCAGTTCATATCAAGGTCACCAGTAACCTCCAGTTGGGAGGCTGATTCCAATGGCCAGTTCTAATTCCTCACGTTGTTTTGACCTATCTGCCACGCTGGACAAAATTGATTTTGCCTTCCTAGAAACGTGTCCTCTGTGTCCTCTGTGACCTTGGGTACCATCCCTCTTAGCTTTCCTCCTACCTCCCTAGCCTCTCTTTTCAGTCTTGTTTCTGGCCCCTTCTCATCTTCAACTTCTAAATGTGAGCCCTCTTCTTTCTCTACACTCATTCCCTAGCGATCATGTCTAGTCCATCCCAAATATGTATCTCTAGCCCAGACCCCTCCTTCAACTCCGGATTCATGCATCCAACTGCCTCAGTATCTCCTTTAAAATCCAACAGGCACATGGATTTTCTCTGCTGAACTTCCCTACCCAGTGTTTCCCATCACAATAAATGACAACTCTTCTCTTCCAGTTGTTGAATCCAAAAACTTTGGGGCCATCTTTGACTCCTCTCTTCCTAGCACTCTTCCTCCATCCATGAGAAAAATCTCTTGGCACAATCTCTGAAACATATCCAGAACATGATATCTTTTCAGCTGCTACCACCCTGGCCTAAACTTTCATCTTCTTACACCTGGACTGTTGCAAGAGCCTCCTACCCAGGCTCCCTGCTTCTCCCCTGGCCACTCCACAGACTGTGCACTTCACAGCCAGTTGAGCCTCCTTTAAACACGACTGTCAAGTCAGGCTACTCCTCTGCTCAGGGACCCACAGGTGCTCCCATCTCACCCAGAGTCAGACTAAGGTCCTTATGATGGCCTGCAAAGCCCTGCAGGATCTGCCCGCCCCCACTCCCTTTGCCTCTGTGAGTTCAGTTGCTCCCACTCTCCTCCTTGCTCACTCCTCTCCAGCCACACTGGAGTGTGTCATTCCTTGAACATGCCAGGTATGTGCCTACCTCAGGGACTCTTCCTTCGCTAATCCCCAGATATCTGCATTTTTGCTCCTTTCTTCAGGTTTCTACTAAGAGGTCACCTTGTCAGTGAAGCTTTCTTAATCATCTTATTTAAAATTGCAACCCACTTGTGCTCCAAATATGGCACTTTCTATCCTCCTTACCCTTTGTAAGTTTTCTCCATAGCTGTTATCACACTCTGCCTTTTTTTTTTGAGACAGGGGCTTGCTCTGTTTCTCAGGCTAGAGTGCAGTGGTGTCATCATAGCTCACTGCAGCCTCCAACTCCTAGGCTCAAGCGATCCTCCCACCTCAGCCTCCTAAACTGCTAAGATTACAGGCATGAGCCACCATGCCCGGCCACAGTCTGCTTCTTTTGTGTCTGCGTTTTCTGTCTCCCTGAAGCTACAAGGACTCTGCTATTTGCTGCTCCTTCCCTAACATACAGTGATTGGCATGTACTAGGTGCTCAGAAATAACTGAATGAACGAATTAATGTATGAATGGTTTCCAGGTATGGGTTATTAAATGCTATACAGTCTTCCAAGTTCTGATGTAAAATTTCATATAAGCCACATGATAGTCTAATGAGTTAGGCAAGGCAGAACCTGTGTTTTAGATGAGGAAACTGAGGCCCACAGGAGCTAAGTGATTGCCCGGGGAGCATGGCTGGTTATTGGGGCTCCTGGGCCTTGTAGTTCAGATCTCAGTTTCTGCCCCCCACCCTCAACTACCCACATGCCTCATGCTGTATTAGTATAGACCTCAGGGCATTAATTTCAGTTTGTTTTTCATTGCAGTATTGATGAGAAAACCCCGTATCTAGCTTTGGGGGCTGTGAAGAATATCTCTCTAAACATCTCCATCTCCAACCTCGGAGATGATGCCTATGATGCCAACGTGTCCTTCAATGTTTCCCGGGAGCTCTTCTTCATCAACATGTGGCAGAAGGTAAGGGGAGCATCCCTGAAAGAGAGCCTCTTTTCCATCTGGTGTGTTTCCAATTTCTTCATGGCTTGGAATATGCAATGATTCTACAAAGACTATGCCTTTGTATGGAGTATCACTTAGAATTATTTTCTTCCTGGACATAGGAAATACATTATTACAGCCAAAGCAGCAGCCATGAATACCCACAGAGCGTTGGAGTGTCTGTATTGTACACTGTCTCCTGCCCTGGCTCTCTTGTGGAACCTCTCCCTGTACTTTTATGTGTGGCCCCATCTCTGAGATGGTGCAGTCGCTGCCTCCAGCACACTCATGTTCTAGAGAATTCCAGTTTTAGGTCAGTAGTTGTTGTGAAAAACAAGATAAGAAATAAGAACAGATCACTGCTTATCATGCTTGTTATCACCAATGATGCACTGGATGTTTTCTGTTAGAGCTGCAGTCCCCAACCCCTGGGTTGTGGCCCAGTACCGGTCTGTGGCCTATTAGGAAACAGGCCAAGTATCACCACCTGAACTCTGCACCACCTTCCCCCCACCCATGACTCTCCACCCTCAGTCTGTGAAAAATTTGTCTTCCATGAAACCAGTCCCTGGTGCCAAAAAGTTTGGGGATTGCTGTGTTAGAGAATCAGCCTATACTTTGGCATATTTATTTATTCCTGACATATTTGAGTGAATTGGGGTAATTATTTTCATGAATTGAGTATTTTTAGAGCGAATTAATTTATTTGAATGAATTAAAGCTTAGATAGCATGACTGGAAGAAAAAGAGCTGGAATTTTCTCTTGTCCCATAATCTCCCTCCTGACACTGCCTTTGGGAAGGAGGAACAGGCTCCTCAGCAGGCCGCAGGTAGGAAGGGGTGGGCCCAAGGAGATGCCACTCCACCCAGTGGTTTCCTCTAACCGCAGACAGCTGTTGACAGTGTTTACAGCATTGAACTGCAATGCCTTAGTCTCTGTGTTAAGATGGACCCAGAACCTTTGCCCTGCCCACCTGTGAGCACTGGGCCCCCATCCTTCCAGGCTCAACAATTTTGGCAGGATCGTGCCAAGCCTGGGGGCAAATGAAGCATACAGAGCCACCCAGAATAGCAGTGCTCCAATATCTTTCTGAGAAGTCATCTCAAAGTCTGCTGCTTGATAGCTTTCTAAAGCTCCGGAGATGGAGGAGGCCACAGAAGCAGTCAAGCACTGCAGGAAGGGCATGCTTTCCACCCACCTTCTAGACCCTAATAATTATCTCTGAGTTAAGCCCAGTCAAGAGAGAACCAAGAACCGATAGGGTTCTAGTATCTCTGGCCACTCACAGGATCTCTCTTACAGAATTGCGTGTGCCAGGAGGCCATCTCCCTGTGCGGAGTGGGAAGGTGGGTCGGGGGAGAGGGGTTTACTTGAGCACTAGACATGTGGAACTTGTCTCTGTGGTACTGAAAGAACGTGGTTAGTGACTGGGTCATTACATGACAGAGATTCCTCTCACTCAGGACCCGTGGGAGAAATTGCTCTCCAGCCTCAGACTTAGAAATAGCTGCACTTTGCCCCAGCACTTTGGCTTGTTCTTACCTTGTGACTGACGAGGTGAGGTTTTGTTCTCTTTATTGGCTGCTGGAAAGCCCAGAGCTGGCCCCACTGTTGGTATATAGGCCTTGGCAGTCTTGTTTTATAAACTAAGTAGCCTCACGTGTCTTGCTTTGCTTCCCTTCACCATGTTTTCCTTTTTAGCTTGGAGACTGCATCATATTCTACCATATGCATATACTATGGATTTTCTACAAATGCCTCTTAATATTTAGGTTATTCCCAGTTTTTTATTCTCTTTTGAATAATATGGTGATGAATATCTTTTACAGAGATTGGTCATATCCTTAGCTCTACAGCTTTTCAGGGCATGGGTGTAGCATTTCCACCTACTACACACCAGGGACTTTGCACACGTGTCTCCATCCCTTTCTCACTGTGTGAGGCCCAGTGCGTGTGATTTACTGGAGGAGAGCTCCTAGGAGAAGAGCCATGAGGGAGCAGAGTAGGACAGGGGAAGGTTGGGAGGGGTGTGCTGTCAGGTCAGAGCTAGCCTTGGTCTGATTTAGGGGGTGGGAAGAAATGGGGGATGCCCTAGAGCATAGGTCACTCAGCAGAATTGTTCCCTCTTGAAGCTGTGGGGTACAGCATCGTTTTCCACTCCTGTGTCATCATTGGCCACTACGGGACAAGAGGGTGATGAGTAGTCTCCCGAGCACTCTGGACAAGGAGGCTCTAGTCAGTCAAGGAAAGTGTGTCTGCAAAGGCCACAGGTGTAAGTTGTTAGCTTTGGGGAAGATGGGAGCACACCCCTTTGATCTCTTTGCTGTTGAATCCCAGAAACCTTTAAAACCTTTGGTGCAGGGAAGCCTAGGTTTCAATTTGGCAGAAAGTTGGCAAGGTATCAGTGTTAGTGTGAGAATGGTGACAGAGCACAGAGGTGTTACGTAGCTGCTCTGGTGGCAGGGCCAGCCAGAAAAACAGGTGGGCAAGGTGATCCTCAGTGTGGCAGGAAAAAGAATGGAAAAGAAACAAAGACTCCCCTCCCATGACTACAAGCACACTGCAGGGCTGATCAGCTGGGGAGATAGATGGCATTGCCTGGCCCAGAGCAGGCTTTTGACAGCACATAGGTGGCTAGTGAGGGGGCACCAAGAGAGCCCACCCAACCTGTTTAACAATGCATAGACCCAACAGAACCAACACGGGCCCTACAGAGAGATTCTAACACGTAAACTAAGAAAAGCGTAACTCAAGATAGAGGGAAAGCATAACTTTTAAAAAAGATTATTAATAGAAAACAAAAGTAAATTTTTAAGAGCATCCACTTTTGTTTTTGATGAAATTCAAGAAAACATGAATACAGTGAACAATCAGATAGTGGAACAACAGACTGGATGAAAATGGAATGGATTGAGTGACAAACAGAAATAAAGGTTGTGAGAGGGATCAGGAAACGTTACAATGAAACCAAGACAGCAATGGCAGAGTTAAAATGTGTGTTCTAATCAGGGAAGAGCAGAAATAGCAGTACAGAAAATTGATTTATTGTTGTAGAGATGTTTTTGAGAAGATCTCTGAGAATTCAGAGAAAACAAAGCAATGAAAAGGATCACAGTGAAGACAATAATATGGAAAGTGGAAACTGGAGAATCAGCAAAGAGCAAATTGTTCCAGAATGATTGGAATAGAAGACGTGAATAGAAACCATTCGGAGACAGCAGAGAAGGATCTCCATGTTCTAAAATGGGTGCTACAGATACCAGGCAAAAATACGAAAGAGATTTTCATGTCTACACATAGTTTCATGAAATTGTAAGGATATGAAAATGATACTGTTAATGCTTAACAGAAAACATCAGTTTTCTACAGACTTTTCTGTAACATTGTCAAAAGTTAGAACAGCATATTCCATAGTGAATTTAAAATTCTATACCCAGCCAACTTGCCCTCCGTTGGGAAGTTACAATAAAGATATTCTCAGATATATGAGAATTCATAGTCTATTAACTTCTCTAGATTGGATTCCCCCTAAAGCAGACCCTGATACAACAACGTAGGTGTAGGTAGTTTATTTGGGGGATGATCTCAGGAGGCACCTAGTAGGAGTGGTGAGTTTAGGCAGGGAAGGAAAGAAAGAAGAAAACTGTGCATGGATGTGCAGATCACTGCTGTGGGCAGCTTGGACTTAGTCTTCTGCAGATTCTCTGAGAGACTGTGTGAAACACACCTCAGAATCTTCCCCTTGAGGGGTGAGGAAGCTGCTGGAGGATTCATCCACCTACTCCTGTCATTCATTGTGGGAATTGCTCCAAGGCCTTTAGTTCTCTGGCTTCCAGCCTCCTCTGGCTGTGGCCCATGCTCCCTGGGGCCAGGAAACGACTCAGCCAGAAGGATGTGGGAAGCCTTTGGCCTGGAGGGGACTGGCTCCAGGTGTCCAATCCTCTGGTTGCTTCTTGGGAATGTGAACAAGGTGCTGGCAGCTTCTGCTACCATAACCATGAAAGCTTCCTGAAAAATAGTTACTTACAGTGAACCACTCAAGAATACAAAAGCTGTGAATTAAAAAAGTGTGTTAAAGCCAAATGAACGTAGAATGAAGCAAAACAATTTTTACAAATATTTTAAATAGTAAGCAAATGTTAAAAAATTGTTGCCATAGTAAATGCATAATATAAAAGGTTAATAAAAGTAATCCTATAATCTCAGTTATACCAATAAAAATTTGAGAAGAAACTTGACTTTGTCACTCTTCCTGCTTCATATTCTTCAGGACGGAGTTCAGACTCCTCAGCTGTTCATGAGGAGCCATCTGACCTGGTCATTCCCGCCTCCCTTCCCTCCCTACTCCCCACCACCCAGGCTGAGTGCTCACCATGCCCCCACATCCACCTTAATCACTGCTCTTTTACTACTGAACCCAGGAACCTCCTCTACCCCCATTTTTGCTTAATGAACTGTTCTGTCCTCAAATGTCAGCTCAGGTGTCAAATGTGCAGGCTTTTCACCTGCTGCACAGGACCTGTCCCCTAAGGAGTAGCTGGCTGGGTGGATGGGTGGGTGTGTGGATGGATGGATGGCCTGGGGGAGGGAGGGATGGATGGATGGATATCCCTCTTGTCCAAAGTCACAGAGAAACTCAGGGCCCAGGCCTCTAAGGTTTTTGGTCTTTTCCGTCATCACATAGTCCATTAGTTAAATGTTAGCTTCTAAGACTGAACACAAAATACTCCCTGAAATGGATTTTTCTATCCTTTTCTAATGCCAGGCTGCTTTCATAGATTTATTCTGGGTTATTTTTTTCCTTCAAGGAAAGACTGCTTATAAAAATGTTGGTGTACATGAATGGCCATTTTGACTTTTCTCTTGCCTAAATAAAGCTAACTTGGAAATATAAAGGGGGGCTCAATTTGGCTGACTGGCACATGCTGTCTGACGGAGCTCAGCGTGCAAGGGCCAGCAGCTGGGTTTCCATGGGGGC